CTGATAAATACTTTCACATATTAATGATCCATTATCAAAATACCCAGGAGTGCAAGTACAATCATTTTGATTTAATGCACGAAGATGATTTGGGAAACAGGATTAACATTTTTTTGAGCTTATTGAGCAAGTTTTACAAAATTCACTGCATTTTTGACACATTTCAATTCCAACATCATAATATCCATCCATACAGGGGCAAGAATTCATTTAAAAATATCGAAAATTAGATGTATCACAAGTTAAACATTTACTTGATTAAATTTAACATGTTTTCATAATTATTACTTAAACATGAATTTTGATTTGCTTCGTAAAAGCCATCCTTGCAAATGCATTATGATGTATCACTATCAAAATATCTAGTTACTAATTCACAAGCTATACATTAAGTTTAAGTTTAGCATTCAGTGCAACTATAGTGGCAAACTTAGATTAAATATTAATAATACCTTAACATTATTAGGCAACGAGATTAAAAAAAGAACCTGATTTGCAAATGCATAAATTTTACTAATTCAGTGTTAAGTTCAGACTTGAATCACATTGTGTGCAATTTGAAGATTTTCCAAAACAAGTTAAGCATGTTTGATCGCATTACAAACAAGAGTTGTTTACTATATCTTCATAATATCCATCTATACAAATACAAGTGTGATTTGATTTGTTTAGAATTCTATTTTTATCTTAAGAACAACTCAAGCAAAATGTATCTAGCCCATCACAAGTTTCACAAGTAGAATTACAAGTATTACATTTATCATCTAAGTTTGACAAATAGGTTCCATCACAGTATTAGCATTATCCATCTATTTCGGTTGTGCCTGGTTAACAATAGCAAGTATTATCATAAGTGTTCAAAATTCTTAAGATACTCAAATCACACGCTGTACAAAATTTCGAATTGAAATTACAATTGTAACAATTAGAATCACATTTGCTACAATTACTCAAACCACTATCATAATAACCAGGATCACATAGGCATTGATTTTGATATAATTGCCTTGTTTATACACAAGATGTGCATTAAGTTTATGAAGTAATGCAGCTTAAACATTTATAAAAGCATTTTTAACAATTTGGAGTAAATCCATCATCATAATATCCAAGGAGGCATTCGCAGACTTTCCCATTCAATATTCTAAATGATGCTGCTTATGGTTAGCAACTTATACATTAATCAGCCCCTAAAGTATTACATTGTAGACAAGAATAATGACATTCTTGACAAATAACATTTCCAGAGTCATAATAATGATCATTACAAAGGCAAGATTATAAAAAAGCATTGTAAGTTCGATATGAATTAACTTAACAAGAATTACATCTAATCGATGTTATTTCACAGGTCAAACAAGAGTAGTATATTTTAAATGCTACTGT